GGGCGGATAGACTGCGCCGCTGGATTTGGAGCTGGATGGTTGAATGTGAAACAGGATTGGAAACATTATAACCCGGCAGCTCCCGGTAATCTCCGGTCAACATTAGCAGGCGCCGTGAACTGTTACAATCTGGACATTTGCACTGGCTCCTACCCACTGGGGGATTTGCTCCAACTGGAGGAGCCCCACCCTTTCTGTCTTACGCCGGAACTTCACAAATTGGAGAGACTTTGCTTTCCAGGACAGTTTCACATTTGGTTTTTGTTTCGGAGAAGCTGTAAACTATCTTCCTGACAGGCTACAACGTTCGTATTTAGTTTGAATGACAGGTGACCGTGTGGGGTACCTCAGATCCCATTTCTATGTTACTACACCTAACATGAGGGTTGGTAATTGTAGTCCTGGAGAAGGGTGACCGAAATTTTAACTTTGCTTTCTCTCTACACAGATGCTGCCAGGCCTGCCGAGCTTCTCCAGCATTTCCTGTTTGTTTTGTTTCAGATTTCCAGCATCCTTTTATTCTGGTGTTATTTAAATTGTAAACACGGCGACGGCTCTATTTAAGCACCACTGCAATCCCCCTTTACACAGAAAGTGACACTGGTCTGATTATTATTAAGCATTGAGATTGGCAGTGAAGCAGCTTGGGGAAGGCTGTTTGTGAATGTGAGCGCTCACGAGAACCACCAGCAAAAAGTTTCAGTCACTCTGAATCAGTTTGCTTTTGTGGTGACTGCTGAGCACGGACCTCCTCCCAGGCATAGCTTCCAGCCTCTGTGTCTCGTCCTGGATTAAATCGCCTGGTTTATGAAATTCAGTTCTGCCCTCCCCACTTCCCAATCATCGCCAGAGGGAGGAAGTGGAACTGTGATTTTATATATATAGAGAGAGAGAGATGGAGAGTCTCCCTTACACACACATACCTCAGATACGACATTTGTGAATAACAGATGTGTTGCTTTTTCACTCTGAGCTGTCTGTTCCAGCCTAAGCCAGAGAGGAAAACAGGGAGGGAGGGTCAGGGGATTGGTAGTGAAAGTGAATACAACAGAACACCATTAGAGGGAGAGAGAGAAAAAAAATATACAGAGAACCAGCGCTGATTGAAGACAGCACAGAAGCATGGGCGTTCTGAGGAAGGTTCACTCTGCTTTCTCACCACAAATGCTGCGTTTCTCCAGCAAAGACGCTGTCTGATTTCGGGGTGCTTTGTTGGGGATTGAAGGAGGACGGGACACTGTTCCCTTTTTTCTCTCTCTCTCATTTGGGGGGTGGGAGGGGCAGGGAGAACGATGGAAAAGCAAGCAGGAGTTGCCCCACACTCGAAACATGTAATGGAAATCCGCACAGAGGGCGGAGTAAGCCCCACTTCCCCGGGGTTGGGGGGTGAAGCAGGAGATGGAAACCACAAGAGCCTAAGAGTCCTTAATCCACACATGGTCTTGGTAGTGTCCCTACCCTGGAGACCCGGGTTCAAGTCCCACCTGGTCCAGAGGATTGTAAATAACATCTCTGAGCTTCTTCATTAGAAAATGTCCAAGTTAAAAATTCGAAAGAAGGGTCGACTTTCCTGCTGCCTGGCCTGCTGTGTTCCTCCAGCTCCACACTGTTATCTGTAAGTTAAAAATTAGTCTTCTGATAGATCTTAGCATAACTTAAAATGCAGGCAAATAACGATAGTGTACTCAGCCTAATTTTTTCTTTGACGTAGATTTAAAGGAACATTTTGAACACAAAATGAGTATATGTAATAAAAATGAAATAAAACTGACGATCTGAAACAAAAACCAAAATTGCTGCAGAAACTCAGCAGGTCTGGCAGCGTTTGTGGAGACAGGATCAGAGGTAACATTTAAAGTTCAGTGATCCCCCTCCTCCAGGACTTTGTGTTTCTAAGATTCTCGGTTTGTTCTCTCTACCACTGTTTGGGGCACTTGTCAGAGCTAGATGAATCTGACTGTGATAATGATACCTTCAACCCCAACCCAAACACTACATTTGCTGCCACCCTGATCCCAGCCCCATCCTTGTAGCATCACATCACTTATGTTACATGTTGTGTCACCAGAGTCAATGTTAACTCCCTGCCTTCCTCTCCACTTCTGTTTTTGACCCTGCGAAATCCTGACAGAGTGCAAGAATGACTTTCAAATTTGCACCTTCTCAGTTTTTGCTTGCAGTGTCAGTTACACACACAGGTTGGGAAAGCTGTGAGGTTGGTGAGACAGCTCACTCCTAGAGGTTTAATTGTTAAATTGTATGGGTGGGGGGGGTTAGATGAATATTTCCATTCTGGAAATGTAGCTCAGTTGCTCCAATGTTTCAAACCTCCCAAAGAAAGAAGAAAACAAAATCCATCAGTTCACATTAAAATAAAAGCACAGTATTGCGGATGCTGAATATCTGAAATAAAAGTCTATTCACATAGTTGCTAACTATACCCCATGCAATTAGACAGGCTGGTTATCTGATTTTAGTTCCAGGGAGGTTTGATTGCACCGAAAGACACACTGGGCTTCTGATTCAGGAACAGTAGTGCTTCTGTTCAGCAGCTGGGAATTGTTTGCAATGTTAGCACCTGAGACCAGGTAGATCTCTATCTAAATATAGACTCAAAGCTACCAAACACAACAGCACTGCTGATGGGGACATTTCAGTAGATTCACATAATGTACTTAAAAGCACAGTGAATCCACTGTGACTCATTGGGGAGTACTGTCATCTCTGTGTAACAAGGTTTGGGTTCCAGCTCCACTCCGAGGCTTAAGCAACAAAATAGAATCGAGGCTTTTTGATGCGACAACAGTGCCTACATCAGAAAACAATTTAAGTGGCTGTAAAATGCTTTGAGGCACCTGATGGTCATAAAAAAGCACCATATAAATGCATGTCTTTTGGAGGTACTTAAAATGTGGACTTCGAACTTAAACAATTCATTCTGCACATAACTCAGTGACAGTGAGTTAAAGTGTTACAAATTATGAAGCATCATACCATTGACTTTGTTTCTTTAATTTTGCTTAAAATTCCTGATAGTTTTTAAATGACTGTATATTAACAGTGGTAGGCGAAGGGCTATTTGGCAGCTCTTTATTCATTCTCTTTTTCCATTTGGTTTTGTTTAACCCCTGATCTGAAATTAAAGCTACAATAAAGCGTGTGATAATATTTATATGATTTTAGCTGATATCTCTCACCTACTCCAGAGTCACCATTCAAACTGCTACAGTATTTCACACGTAACATATACTGCAAAATATAAGTCATATAATGCTGTTTCCTTCTGACCTGGATCTGATTTGAAAGCAAATCTGCAAAGTGTGCTCACCAAGTGATAATTAAGCTCTGCTTGAGCCCAGGCAGTATTTACTTAGCATATATACTCCCTGACTTTAAAACGACAGTTCTGCACCACCACAACAATAGCTTTATATTCTAACACACTCATATTTTTCTCAGTGCAAAATTCTATGTATTAAAAAATTAAGATCTATTTGCCATCTATAATGCCATGGGGCTGAAAGGCAGAAAGTACTGAGAAATAAAAAGGGCTGGAAGTTCAGAAAAAGACCATCAGCGATCCAAAAGAGATAAGATAAGTTAGCATTTGGGATGCAGACCCTTTTCTGGGAAATTGGTTTCTCAAAAACTGCATCTTTTTGTTTGTCCCACTATTGAATTGCATTGACTTGGTGCGACGTTGCTGAATTTGCACGGTAGATATGAACAAAACTCACGACTGAAAAGTTAGGTCAAATCATGTCATGTCCATTTAATGTGACATTTAATGGCAGTCAACCTCCCTGGCACTGAAAATTTACACATAAAATTTAATTCCTGTAGTAGTTAGAAATTAAAACAAAATTCAAATGCTTGTTTTTAAGTTTTATGTTTGTCATACATTTTTATCTATTTTTCTTTACCTCTCAATCCAGTCAACTTTACATGTTTTTCACCCTCTTCCTGCACCTACTTTGATTGCAAATTCACTCACTCTAAGTTACACTTGCTTCTCAGTATTTGAACTGTACCTTTCTCTCTTTCTATTTGATCTGTTAAGGAGCCAAACTGTTGCTTATCCCTTTCACACAGGCTCCAGATTCCCAGTTTTATTTTCTGGCCACAACTTTATCAGCTTTCACTTTCAACGACTTGCTGCACTAAAATGTCAAAAACATAAACATGCTAAGGCAGCCCTAACTAACGACAGATGCCGTTAGATGCCCTGTCACAGCAAATTATGGGCCACTTATGCTTCATTGCACAACAGTCTAAATTAATGTGTTTTATTTAAATATAAACAGCTAAGTGCATCCATGTGCATATATTACTGTTTGAAAATAAGGTTTGTCCTCCTGACCAAGTTTAGCTTGTTTTACATTTCAGCAGAATTTTAGTTGTTCATTCAGATTCACACTGATCCAAGGTACAATGCAGTTGGATGGATCCCTGGAGAAGTACAGCAACAAATACCTGTACTTGCGTTTACATGAATCATTGCTTTAACAGTTGTCTTACTTTTAAAAGCATCATAAGACAGTATTAGACCACTTAGCAAATTCATTCGCAGGATGTGGGCATCACTGGCTAGGCCAGCATTTATTGCCCATCCCTAATTGCCCAGAGGCAGTTAAGAGTCAACCACATTGCTGTGGATCTGGAGTCACATGCAGGTATTTCTGCTATAACGCATATTTCGTTAATGAGAATTGGCTGTAACATGATTGATGAATAGTGCTGTCTGGATAATGTGAACTTTCTGCTGTACAGATATAACAATCACTATGACGTGATTTTCTATAGCGTGACGTAACACAAGAATGTAACTATTGCATTGTAGGAGAAATACCTGTACGCACCACACCAGTTAAAGGTGGCAGTTTCCTTTAGGGAAGCACATTAGTGAACCAGATGGGTTTTTTCCCCCTGCCAATTGACAATGGATGCATGGTCATCATTAGACTCTTAATTCCAGATTTTGTTTTAAATTGAATTCAAATTCCACCATCTGCCATGGCAGGCTTCAAACTCAGGTCCCCAGAACAATACCTGAGTCTCTGGATTAATAGTCCAGTGATAATACCACTGGGCCATCGTCTTCCCAGTCTGGTCTGCCATTCAACAAGATCATAGCTGATCTGATAATCCTCAACTCCACTTTCCTTCCTTTTCCCCATAACCCTTGATTCCCTTCCTGATTAAAAATCTGTCTCAGCTTAATTACCCACCTCGACAGCTCTCTGCAGTAAAGAATTCCACAGATCCTGTACCCCCGAGAGAATCTGTCTGAAATGTGCAATCCCTTATTCTGAGATTATGTCCTCTGGTCCTAGATTCTCCAACAAGGGGAAAACCTATCAAGTCCCCTAACAATCATTGTATGTTTCAAAAGGTATGCTAATGAGCCTGTGATCAGGATGGAAAGCACATGTCCAAATGCTAGGTGTAATCTAGCAAGAAGCAAGCTAGAGCAAGGCTGTATGCATTGTTATCAGCAACTGCTCTTTGTAGTTTAAGCTGTAAGTAAACCTGTTTGAGCTTTTCATGTAAACCGAACCCATGCTACTTGAGATAACGAGGTGTAGAGCTGGATGAACACAGCAGGCCAAGCAGCATCAGAGGAGCAGGAAAGCTGATGTTTCGGGTCTAGATCCTTCTTCAGAAATGGCTGAAGAATGGCAGAAATGGCATTCCTCAGGAGTGTAGTCAAACAAAAATAATACTGAGCCAAAGATCATGTTAGATTGTGGGAGTGAAAGCTTTATCAGAAAGTTAAGGTTTGATGAGTGCCTTAATGGAGGAGAGTTGGGCAGAGAGGTATTCTGGAGGACATAAGGCAATGCCTCCGAAGGGAGCGGGGTATGCACAAGAAGCCAGAGTTCGATGAACAGAAAGGTTCAAATAGGCTACACTTGCATTTATTATGTAAAATGTCCAAACTTAACTCTTCACATGAAATGAATTGCTTCAAAGCAAAACCACTCTTTTTCTTGCTTTCATAGGATGAGGGCATCGTCAAGGTCATATTTAGCTGCCCATTCCTAAGGTCCCCTGAGAAAGACTGCTTTTTTGAACCGCAGATGTCCATCTGGTGAAAGTGCACTTATACAGTGCTGTGGGAGGAGGTCCATGACTTAAACCTCACAACAGTGGCATTTTGGAAAAGGCAGCAATTACCTGGCACGCACAATGATCCGTGAGTAGCCATAAAATGAATATGTAAGCGTGTGATGATGAGTTTTTGGGAGAACTCCCTATCTTTGTCCGAATCAAGCTGTGGGTCCTCTGACAGGAGGGTGGCACCATGGACAGATGCAGCATCACTGACAAAGCAGCACTCTTAACATTGTGTTGATGTATCAGCCGAGATTACAAACTCTGGTTCCAAAGCCTACACCCATCCCGCACCCACCCCCGCCCCACCCCCCACGATTCCAAGGTAGTGGAGCTCCTCATTGAGCCAAGTTAACACGCCTACCTGAAAAAAAATGGGATGTTGGAAATCTGAAATATGAGTGAAAGTGCTACACATTTTCTAAAACATCTGAATAGAGAGAATGTGTTGACAGCTGGATAGGCTTTCAGTTGCTGCAGTGACAAACCACCACAGAGATTATATGATGAAACAAACTCTGTTTCTCTGCCTGCTGTTTTGTTTCAAATGGAACCCTTTGCACTTGTTGTCATAGAAGTAATAAAAACCCTACAGCGTGGAAGTAGGCCATTCAGCCCATCAAGTCCACACTGACCCTTATGAAGAACATTCCATCCAGACCCCTGCATTTCCCCTGGCTAACCTATCTAGCCTGCACATCCCTGAGAGGTATGGGCAATTTAGCATGGCCAACCCACCTGCACATTTTCGAACTGTGGGAGGAAACCGGAGCACCCGGAGGAAACCGGAGCACCCAGAGGAAACCCATCCAGACACGGGGAGAATGTACAAACTCCACACAGACAGTTGCCTGAGGGTGGAATCGAACTCGGGTGCCCGGCCCCGTGAGACTGCAGTGAGCCACTTTGGCGCCCTGAGCTGCACAGGGTCAAAATATGGAAGTCAGATTTTCAATGAAATGTTTAACTATTGAATTTTTTTCTGGGTTTTGAGACCCTTTTGGTAATAATGATCCATTTAACTGATTAATATTCACAGACTAATCCCTGGAATGACCAGATTGCCTTATGAGGAAAGGTGAGACCAGCTGGACCTGCATCCTCTGGAGTTTAAAAGAGTTGGAGGTGATTTAATTAAAACACTAGATCCTTTGGGGACTTGACAGGGTGGATGTTGAAAGATTATTTCCTCTTGTGGGAGAGTTTAGAGCTAGGGGTTAAAGTTTAAATATAAGGAGGTGCCCATTTAAAACAGAGATAAAGAAACATTTTTTTCTTTCAGAGGGGCATGAGGTTTTGGAACTCCCTTTCTCAAAAGGCAGTGGATACAAATTCTTTCAATATTTTTAAGGCAGAGGGAGATAGGTTCTGGATTACCAAGGGAATGAAAAAGTATCGGGAGATATGCAGGAATGTAGAGTTGAGGTTAAAATGAGATCAGCCATGATTTTATGGAATGGCAGAGCAGGTTCGAAGGGCTGAGTGGCTTACTCTTGTTCCTTGTTTCTATGTTTGTGTGTTCCACCATCTCAGTAACTACATACTGTGTTAATCAGCTCAGGGGGCATGGGAGCAGCTTCCAGGCAAGAGGCTGGTATCCAGTGAGGTTGTTTGGAAGTGTGTTGGTCTATTGAGCATTGGATAAGAGATTGTGTGTGATAGTATAGCACTTGAATAGCCAAAACAGTGCTCACTGCCCATTCTCAAAATTGAGATTGGCCTTCTGCATAAGACATTGGAGATATTACAATGTCCATGGGGTTATAAGGACAGTAAAAATAAGAGGGGGTCTGAGATGTGAGAAAACTGGAAAGTCTGCATATGTAAACATTTGTGCTAAGGTGAATGTGATGTGGGACCAACCTGTCATTTATTTTAATAGGGCATTGCTCAATTGTATGAACTATCAATGTATTTAAAGCTTTGGTGCACACATTGTGTAAGTTATGTCATGAAACGAAAAGTAATGTTGTCTCCCTTAGCACTCAATAATGAAGGATCGTCTAAATTGTAATCAACTACCAAATATCAAATCAAGTGAAAGTAACAGCAATACTGTTATCTTCTGGACATTTAACATGCATATCAAATCCTCCCTCATTTTAGTGTTAATGTGTTTAAAATAAATGCATGAATACTCCTGTTAAAAGGACAGAGGAAAGGCATTGGTATAAGCAGGTGAAGCTTAACATTGCCTGGAATCATTCCTATCTATTGGTATTCTAGTTACATCCCAATGATACTTAAGGCAGTTATGTTTTCATTTACTTTTAGCATGCTGGGGAGATAAGCGAAATTGTACTGGGCCTAATTTGCTGTCTCTCCAAAATCAACTAACTTATGTCTTGGCGAAGACTCTAAGATTGGTTTCAGCAGTCATTGGTTAGTCTGAGGATCTCATCAAAGGTTCCTGACTCTGATTGCTGTCCATTAACCCTTTATCTTTATGTGCTGAATATGGAGGTGGGAAGAGGTCAGGGAAGGGTAGAAGGAGATTTGGAAGGGATGAGCGTTGAGGGGTTGGAACTTGAGGACATCCTAACTGAGATCAACTCTTTAGTCAGCGACCAGGAACTGACCCTAGGCCCTTTTCAGCTCTGCACTGAATTAGTCTGTGAATGATTGCAAGACGTCCTTGAAGCAATTTAACACACTGAGATGTTTTCAATATTTCGATAGACATGTACTCACACTCTTCTGAAGCACATGACTTTTAATGCAATGAGGCTATAGTTCACAAAGCTACAAATCTTTGCTGTTCAAAGATTTCTCCCCCGTGTCTTTGGAGCCAGAAAGTAGAAACTGCACTTTAGTGAGCAGTAAGAAAGCTTTGTCAATGATGGGACTCTTGTGGAGAATGCATTTAATTAGTGCACCCATATAAAGGCATTCGGTGTCTGTCACTCTTCAAATGTCATACTTCAAGTATGTCTAAATGATTGAAAGAAAATGCTCTCACCTGTAGCACTTTGCCTTAGCAGTTATTTAGTGCTCTCTTCATAAAGTACACCTTAGTTCTGGCTTTCTAATGACAGACCAGGTTGAACACTGTTCCCTGTTAGTAGACAGACATAAACTTCAAAAGGAAGAAAGGGATAAAATTGGATATGCCACAGCCATAGTTCCCCAAAGCTCCCTGGACTTTTTACAGAAAAATGTCACCTTGAATTGGAAAATTGTGAATGTGACTCCATTAGCTGACAAAAGTTAGAGAGAGAAACTAAGAGATTGTAGACCTTTCAGTTAAACATCTGTTGTGGCAAAGTTGTTGCAATCTATAATCAGAGACAGAATGACTGAGCACTTAGAGGAATCTGAGCTGTCTATTAGAAAACCACATGGTATAGTCAAGGGTAGGTCTTGTCTAACAAATCTAATTAAATTTTGTGAAGTAGAAACTAATGTGATAGAATGTCAATGGATGTCATTTATATTGACTTTCAGAAGACATTCAATAAGGTTCCACAAAAGAGACTGTTGGTTGAAATTGAAAGTCATGGACTTGGAAGCAATTATTGACTGTTTAAGAGTTAGTGGACAGAAATTAGGGATAATGGGTGTGTACTCGAATGGAAACAATGGTGCCCCACAAGAATCTGCACTAAGGCCTCAAACATTTACTCTATATTCATTAATGATTTAGACAATGCAACCAAGAGCCATACATTCAAGTTTGTTGATGACACAAAGGCTGGTGGCTAAGCACAAAATGTGGATGAGTGTATAAAATTACAGCGAGTGGGCAAAATGCATGCTGCATGGAGTTCAACGCAGGCAAGTGTGACGCGCTGCATTCCAGACCAAAAGATGGTAGATCTGAGTATTATTTAATTACTGTAAAGCTCAGAACAGTGGAGGTTTGAAGAGATTTAAGAGTCCATATACACAGATTGCCAACATTTGATCATCAGGTACAGAGAGTGATTAAAAAGGGTAATGACTCACCAGCCTTTATAACCAGGTCCAGGCCATGACTGCTATAGGAAGGATAGAAAGGTGGTGGGGGCAAGAGAGGAGAAGGCATGGTGTTTTTGTTTTATGGATAACATTATGGTTGTACTTAGGGAGAATATGCCTGAGAGAATATCCGGTGAAGTCATATGGGTGGAACTGAGAAATATGAAAGGGCTGATCACCTTGTTGGGATTGTATTATAGCACCCCCCCCCCCCCCCATAGCCAGTGGGAAACTGAGAAGTGAATATGTAGGGAGATCTCAGATATCCATTAGAACATTCAAGAATGTGATAACGAGACTTCAGAGACAGAATGTCCCTGTTAGTGTGAAGGGCAAGGCTGGTAGGTATAGGGAATGCTGAATGACTAGAGAAATTGATTGCTGAATGACTGGAAAAATCAGTACTGCTATGGCAGATGTTAGATGACAATAACCCTGCAGATATATTGACGTTGCTGAGGTTAAGAAGAAGGGAAATGAGGAGGAGAAGAAGGGATAAACAACATGAACAGAGCGAGGGACATGAGGATTGACGACTAGAGCTGTGCCTGAAACCAAGGCCTTCACCGCTATCGAATAGTCTACTCAGAGGGGGTGTGTTACAGCTGCCTGCAGGTGGGTGGAAGGCAATGCTGGAGGTGTCTTCACATTGTCCCTTACATCTGCCACCTCCTTCAGGCAGGTCTGCAGCTGTGATGCTGGGGAGACAGCGCTGGGCCAGTGGTTCTGAAGACCACAGCAAAGTCGAGCTTTCTGACACCGGATCCTTTCAAACCTCGACTGGGGACATGTGCAGTATCTCCCCATTGACAGAGTATTCCTGAGTTAATCACCTTTACACGAACGCAGTACAATCCTTCCAATTCACTATGGGCCCAGATAGCCAGTGAGCCAATAGACTTACAGCCATCGCTGGTCTCCCTCAGGTCTAAGGGGCATTGACTGATGGCATGTGGCACTCAGAGTTCCCTGGCACCATCCAGCCAGATACCCGAGCAGGAAGGGATTTCACTCCCTCAATGTCCAGCTTGTTTGTGAGCACAGGAAATAATTTCTGTAGGTGTGAGCCCACCATCCAGGGAGCTGTCACAACGTTTCCATTCCACACAAACTCCCAGGTTGCTGAAAGCTTGCTCTCCTGCATCATCTCCAGGGCTGGCTTGTGGGTGGCAAGGGGTATCAGAGGGCAACGCTAATGACCCCAGTATGAACCCCTCAGACTGATGCTGCACAGCAGGACAATGCAGCCCATGTACCCACTGGGGATGGGCATTGAGCAGACAGTTGGTCACCTGAAGGTGCAGTCCTGTAGCCTGGAGCACTCAGGAGGAGCACTCTGGTACTCAGTGTACAGTCCCCAGAATAGTGACTGCCTGCTGTACTCCAGCTCAACAACAGGAGGACGGGAGATAGACCAGCCAGCTGCCTCCTCAGAAAAGGGAAATGGGGAGGCTGATGGAGATAGTGAGGGAACCAACACTGATGCTGAAGGCACTGAGGGAGCCAGGGCAGGACATGAGCTGAGCTAGGCAAACCCGAGAGAACCTGATACTAGCTGGATTCAAGGTTGAGTGATACTGAAGAGCTGTGGGCATTCAAAATTATGCGTCAATTCTGGTGCAGTCATTTCTTCCTTCCAAGGAAATGTTTGCTCTATAATTTGAAAATGTGAAGTTTACTTTGTTTGTTATCAGTTGTAAGTTAATTTTTTCCCTTTGCACCAATAACCTCCCCTTCACATTCCTGGCCAGAGCATCGTTATAAAGTTAATAGAATAATAGAATCCCTCCAACATGGAAAGAGCCCATTTGACCCATCAAGTCTGCACTGACCCTCCTGAGAGCGCCCCTCCACCCCATCTCTGTAACCCTCCATGGGGTTTTTACTATGGCTAACCCACTTAACCTGCACATCTCTGAACATGACAGGGAAATTTTTAGCTTGGCTAATCCTCCTAACCTGCACGTCTTTGGACTGTGGGAAAAAAACTGAATCATAGAATCCCGACCAGTGCAGATAGAGGCTATTCAGCCCATCGAGTCTTCACCGACCCTCTGAAGTGCATCTCACCCGGACCCACACTCCACCCAGTCCTTGTAATCCTGCAGTTCCCATAGCTAACCCACTG